CCCACTCCCTTTGATGGGGCTCAGCCTAAGAAGGTTGTTGACTTGAAACTTGGCTGTAGGAGTGGGAGGGGGGGTGGTGCCTGGGTGGCTCAGTGGTTGAGCATCTGCCTTCTGCTTAGGGCATGATCCCAGATCCTGGGATGGATCACAGGAAGCCTGCTTCTCCCTCTGCCTATGTCTCTGCCTCCCTCTCTGTGTGTCTCATGAATAAATAAATAAAATCTTTAAAAAAAACTTGCCTGGGAAAGTGCATTAGTTGAATGTTTACCTGGTTCCAGACAACATGCGAGTTATTTTATCAGTGCTATCTCATTTGTCTCTGTGGCAGCTTTCTTTAAAAATGATTAAATAAGCTACCTAAAGATAGTTTACCTCAAAGTGGCATAAATAAGATTTGAACTCAGGCTTATCTAATTCTTTGTAAATTAGGATTAGATCAACTTCATTTACCAGAGTACAATGTGATAGTGGCCTATACAGTAGTGTCTGTTTCTTGCTATTCTGTTACAGATATCTGGAGTCAGCAGTCCAAAGCTGGTAGGGTAGCTCTACAAACTTGCGAGGGGCTCAGGCAACTTACAGCTCTTTAGAGTGTAGACCACATGTTTATGAAGGAGGGTGGCTGCTTGAGCTCTATCCATCACATTAATGAATCAAGTAGCAAGGATGGAAGAAGAGAGTATGGTTGCTCATAAGGATTTTTTTTCTAGAACTCCCACATAATATTTCTACTTGGGTCTCATCAGCCAGAACGTTGTCACATGGCTACACCTAGATCCACCTTAAGGGAGGGAAGGAGAGCTAGGAACTGGGACGATTTAGCTGAGCAGCAATATGACTAGCTAAAAATTGGGGTCTTGTTGTGGAACACAAAGATAAGCACGAGTTGAAGAGGATGCTGGTACAAACTTGAAACATCATTATATACTTGTTCTCTTTGGTTAGTGAAACATCTTTGAATGGTTCTTTATGGGTCATTGTCTGAAGCTCTGACTCGTTAGAGGCCATTTCTAAAGCCAGAAAATAAGAGATCTCAAAAAATGCTATATATGTTATTTTCCTATTAATAGATATTTAATAATTTTGGTTGCTTCCATAAATTTGTCTTTCCAGGATTTAAGCTCACAGTTAATCGTTTTAAAAATTACCCCCAAAGACCTCTATGCTTCTTATTTTTTAATCCTTGCCTTGACAGGGCACAGGTTGTGTCATAATACTTGTAGCATTGCTCTCAAACTCCCCAGCCTTTGAATTTGCAGGGAGACCAGCAGAATCGGGGATGCAGCAAGAACCCTTTACAGTTTTTATGTGACAGCCCTACATGTGCAGAAAATATAGTCACAACTAACTCTTTAATACAAAGCCTCTTTGAAACGAACTAGGGGTGGTGGAAGGGGAAGTGGGCGGGGGGTGGGGGTGACTGGGTGACGGGCACTGAGGTGGGCACTTGACGGGATGAGCACTGGGTGTTATTCTATATGTTGGCAAATTGAACACCAATAAAAAATAAATTTATAAAAAAAATACAAAACCTCTTTAAAAAAAAAAAACTTCAGGGACACTTGGATGGCTCAGTGGCTAAGTGCCTGCCTTTGGCTCAAGATGTGACCCCAGAGTCTCAGGATCGAGTCCTGCATCAGGCTCCCCACATGGAACCTGCATCTTCCTCTGCCTGTGTCTCTGCCTCTCTCTCCCTGTCTCTTGTGAATAAACAAATAAAATCTTTAGTACACTTATAAGTATTGTTTTAAACAAAAAATTTTAAAATAACTTACCCCACACATCCCCCAAGAAGTTTGAAACCATCCAGAGGCCATCACTAAAATGTTAGAATTCTTTCTTTCTGGTTTAGTTTTCTGTTATGTTTTTCTTTTACAATCAGAGGGAAATATTTTAAGTAAAATTATCATCCACATAAAAAATTGAGAATTACTGTCATATACAACATAATATAGTGAGGAAAGGGCACTGGTGGTCTTGGTGCTAGTGCTGAGCTACCCATGGGACCCTGAGTGAGCAAGTCAATCTCTGGGTTTCAGGTTCTGATCTGCAAATGTGGAATGGGAGATGTCAAGTACCCAGGGCTTGACAAGTACCCAAGTACTTTCTCCACTCAAATAACCATGATTATGACCCATAAGAGAGTCTACACAACTTATGTGGCATCTGTGGTTTCTTAATTTGGAGTTTGTGGAAAGATTCCAGAATGTATCACCATAATTCGGTGAAATACATGCATAAACTCCAAAGCTCTACTCTTCTCTAGGAGAAGGGTTTATCACCTGCATGGATGCTTAAAGGATTTGTAACATAAAGAAAGTGAAGAAAAACTGGTCTATTCTCATTTTATGGATAAGCATCTTCCATCCAGGAAAGCGAAAAGACCTGCCCCAAATGGATATCCTGTGGATCTTCCTGGCCATCTGGAAGGGCCAGTGGTATTCTCTGTTCCAAAATGGGTACTCTCCCTGGTAGGGTTACCCATCTTGGACTCTCTCTCAGCCATGTACTATGATGGAAATAACTACTCTATGTGTCTCCTCATCTAGCCCAGTTTTATGAAGTTAGTGTGAAGTTTAGAACTTCTTTTTTTTTTAAATTTTTATTTATTTATGATAGTCACAGAGAGAGAAAGAGAGAGAGGCAGAGACATAGGCAGAGGGAGAAGCAGGCTCCATGCACCGGGAGCCCGATGTGGGATTCGATCCCGGGTCTCCAGGATCGCACCCTGGGCCAAAGGCAGGCGCCAAACCGCTGCGCCACCCAGGGATCCCAGTTTAGAACTTCCTCTGTCACTTTTGTCTTCCTAATTCTCCCCCAGATCCTCCCTCAGCTCTCCAGAAGTAGGTGGAGATGTAGGAGAGAGGAAGCATATCTGGGCTCATACAGTTGGGATCATAGTTTCTACTCCTATATTTCTTAAAGAACATTTCAACCCTATATGTACTTTACCCTTTTTGCCAGAGGAGAGGTGGTGAAACCTCTCTCAGGACTTGACATAATGTGTAACATCACTGTGTATGGATGCTGAAGGAAAATCCTCAGATGGACAGTTCAGAGGCGGAGGGGGCAACCCAGCTATCTAAGGAGGGAGTGAATTTGTGTCCCTCTCCACCATCCTGGAAAGCAGAACAGCCTCAAAAAGATTGTACAATGGAAACACTGGTATTTGTGCTGAGAATTCATCATACATAGCCTTGTATCTGAAACCCAAAGTGACCTTTTCTGAGCAACCCTACCCCAACATGAAAAGGCAAATACCGCCAGATTGCCTGACATTTCCTTTTTTAAATTTCAGGCATTCCTGATTTCAAATCAGCTATTGATCTGTTGGTTTGCAGCCCTGATGCAATTAGGCAAAGTCACATTCACTGCTGCTATAGTCTAACCTAAACAACTGCCAGACCCTGCCCTGTATCTCCTCCTGGCCTACCCACCCCTCACACCCCAACAAAACCTACTGGCCCACATGCAGTTGCAGAAAAGCATTTTCTAAACTTCAAATTAAAATCTTCAAAGTGGAACTATGTACTGTCGTACTATGTCCATCTTTAAAGATCACGTTTATTTGCTCGCTTCTTACTTCAAATCCCTCTTGGCAGAAGCTACTTAAAGCCTGTAAGGAGGGAGGGTTTGTTCTGATTCTCATCACTCACCCAAATGGGAGTGTGGAATCCGGCCAGGGAGTGGTCTGCACTTCCCCTGGAACTGGCAGTGAAGACGGATGAGTAGTGACTCAGAGGCCAAAGAAGGTTGAAGGGTGCTTCTCTGGGACCTGCGTGTTGAACACATCTTAAACAGAGCCCCACCTATGGGCCTGAAAAGCACAAAAGGCACGTGCGGAGGCTGTTGATGCTTCTGAAGCTCAGTGTTTGGGGCTTGGATGTGGAATACATTGAGATCCTGGAAGTGCAGGGTACCCCCTTGTTAATGTGTTGAAGAACATTTCTTGAAGCTCCAGTTAACCTGAGGGAGTTGGCTGGTGAAAGAGATCTGGAGGAATTATTGGTGTGTCTTTTCCTAACATCATTTATCAGAGTTCTGGTTCTGTCCTACGAGCAGGCCTGCTAGCCCAGAAACAGCATCTGGTCAATCTCGTCCATCTGGGGGACAAGGAAAGATGAGCTGGCAAGGAAATAAAGGACCAACTTTAAGGGGAGACCATCTGAAAAAAATGAGATTTCCCAGTTTTTCTTTTTTTTAAAGATTTATTTATGATATATATATAGAGAGAGGCAGAGACACAGGAGGAGGGAGAAGTAGACTCCATGCTGGGAGCCCGACGTGGGACTCAATCCTGGGACTCCAGGATTGCGCCCTGGGCCAAAGGCAGGCACCAAACCGCTGAGCCACTCAGGGATCCCCCTCTCCCAGTTTTTCTTACTCCTTGGTCCCAGGTTGTGTCTGTACATGTGATAGAATTGCCCTGTTCAACTTCCATATTTTCCAAAGGTAAAAGCTAATTTGATTCTCCCTTTTTCTTGCTGCTTGGGTGGACAATAAGGCAACCCCACACCAACAATTAATCTCATCCTTGCTGAGTAACTCAAGTGAGGAGCTTTGCTCTCTATCCTGAGTTGACCACCAAAACTGGGTTTCACTGCCCACACGTAAGATTTCTCCATTACAGGGGGATCCCTGGGTGGCTCAGCAGTTCGGCGCCTGCCTTTGGCCCAGGGCGTGATCCTGGAGTCCCGGGATCGAGTCCCGCATCGGGCTCCCGGCATGGAGCCTGCTTCTCCCTCTGCCTGTGTCTCTGCCTGTCTCTCTCTCTCTGTGTGTCTGTCATAAATAAATAAATCTTAAAAAAAAAAGATTTCTCCATTATATATATGGTGACCATATAACCTGGCTTCTTCTAAGACACCTGATTTAATAGCACCCATTGGAGATGAGGCATTTTTAAAAAATATGATCATGCTAATTACTGGGAATGAAGGGAAGGAATGAATTTCTGCCAACTGATCTAACCTTGTGCTCCTTTCTTTCTGTTACCACAGCTCCACTTGGCAGCCCTGGCATCACTCAAGGGAGATATAGTGGAGCTTAATAAACGTCTGCAGCAAACAGAGAGGGAACGAGACCTTCTGGAAAAGAAATTAGCCAAGGCACAGGTAAGGGATCTAGAATTTTTTTTTAAACTTTTGTGTTCCTTAAGATAAAACATAGATATAGGGATTCCCACAAATCAGGTTACAATGTAATGAGCAAGCATTCTCATAACCACTGTCCAGGGCAAGAAACAGAACTTGCCAGTCATCCCAGAAGTCCCTCCTTATGTCCTGTCTTGGTCACACTCTCCCTCCCACCAAGGTGACCACCATGACTTTTATAGTCCTATTGCCTGTTTCTTTACACTTTATCACTGACATTTATATGTTGCTAGACAGTGGAACTTAGTCTTGCCCATCTAAAAACTATGGGTAAATAAATAAATAAATAAATAAATAAATAAATAAATAAAATAAAAACTATGGGTTTCCTTTGAATCTCTTAATTTATAGGTTTTGCTTCCTTTCTTTGTTTGCTTTTTAATTAATCTGTTAGAAACCTGGCTATTTGACCTGTGGAATTCCCTACAGTCTGGATGTTGCTGATTACAGTCACTGTACAGTTCACCACATTCCTCCATCCCCTGTATTTCCTGCAAGATGGCAGATGGACCCAGAGCCTCAAGTCAAATTCAAGTCTGGTCCATTTGGCAAGACTGTAGAGGATATTTGTTTTTCCACTGGGAGGTACATAATGTCTGGCTGTCTCATTTTTTGTGATGCTAACAGCTGTTGATACTCAGTACCTATATTCATTGATTTGTTAGGACTTTAAAAATCATGATATTTCAGTTCTACCATTTCTCATTAATTGGAATGCTTTTATAGAGACATCTCCCATGATCTATGATTTGTTGAAACAATGGTTCATAGAGGAAAAGCAGAATTCTCCATCTTTCATCTATTAACATTTTTCAAGAAAAAAACCTAGTAGCCTCTGAAAGTGCCCAATAATTTTTTAAAATATTATGAAATTGTATATTTAAACATATTTGGGTTTCATTCCACTATTATTTCCCTTACAGAAACTCAAATTATATTATCTTTGGCCAGTATGAGCCTCTTCAGGTTGGCTCCTGAGTCTTCTGACAGGAGCCTAGTGATTATTTCAGATTCAACTGTACATTTTTTGCCCCAAATCTAGTAGTAACCATTCTCTGAGTAGCTCTTATTTCTCTCAGTAAAAAAATGTATTTCAAGATCACAGTCTGGGTGCTGAGAATGCTTAATGCTCCTAGATTGGTCATTGTTTTTAGGCCTCTTTTATAGATGTAGCCAGGACATTCTTTACCTCCTTATTTATCTATATATATTATGTACATGTAACTATTAAGATAAAATACTTTAGGAGTTCATACTAATAGCCCCAATTTAAATTCAGACTACAAGATACTTTTTACTTAGCTTCTTCTATATTTTTTCTGTTTCTCCTTTCTTTCATACTAAGAGTCCTGGCTCTTGAGGTTACGGAGGAAGATAGGATTAGGATATTCTGTAATTACTTACTTGGATCATTCCATATTATGTACAGTTTTAGAATAATATTACTACTGCCAACAAATACAGTTCCTGAGAAGAATGTAATTTTTTGTGGTTGATGCATTATACTCCTCCAGTTTTTTTGCAGTTGTCCTGTATCCACCTGCCTGACCACGTGGCCATTGAAACTCACTCTCTCCCTTTCTAGTCCTCATTTAGACTTCTATAAGGAACTATATATTTAGTGTTTCATGGTCCTTATCTCAATGTTCCTCCATTTGTTTGTTTATTGTCTGAAGTTATTTTCTAGTAGATTCTTCAAGGAGGACTCAGAATAATCTTCACTAAGTTCTTGCTCATTAATAACAGTGTGTCTGTTATTTGCACTTCATACTTGAAGGCCATTTTTGCTGGATAGAAAACCCTTGGCCCATCTTTTCTTGACTTGAATATGTTTCCTTAATCTCTTTTGGCATAGAATGTTGCTCTCAAAGTCTGATAATACAGCTTTCTTTGCCTCATAAGACACTTAACGATAGATGTCCATGGCATATTGTCTTTCTCTTTTCTTTCTTTCTTTTCCTTTCTTTTCTCCTTTCTTTTTTCTTTCTCTTCTTTCTTTTCTTTCTTTTCCCCACTGTCTCTTTCTTTCTTTCTTGTCCAGTAATTTTACCAGAGTAAATATTTTAAAAAGATTTTGTTTTTTTTTAAAGCTTAAACATTAATTTTTTATTTTTTTTTCTATATGGCCAGGTGTTTTATTTTTTTATTTTTTTTTAATATATTAGTTTTTATTGGTGTTCAATTTACCAACATACAGAATAACACCCAGTAAAGATTTTGTTTTTAAGTAATTTCTACACCCAGCCTGGGGCTGAAACTCACAACTCCAAGATTAAGAGTCATGTACTCCACCAACTGAGCCGGTCAGGTGCCCCTAATAGAGTAACTCTAAATCTGTCATTCTGGTTTGATATTCTCAGGTTTGTTGTATATTATTTTGATTATCTCTTTTAATCTTTAATTTCAGGGAAGTTTTAAAAAAATTACGGTTTTTGAAAATATATATATTCTTTATTTGAGAGAGAAAGAGAGAGAGCATGAACAAGGGGATGGGCAAGGAGAAGAGAGGGAGAAGCAGACTCCCTGCTGAACAGGGAACCTGATGTGAGGCTTGATCCCAGGACCCCAGGATCATGATCTGAGCCAAAGGCAGTTGCTTAACTGCCTGAGCCACCCAGGCAACCTGCAAGATTACAGTGTTTATTTTTTTTTAATAATAAATTTATTTTTTATTGGTGTTCAATTTGCCAATATACAGAATAACAACACCCAGTGCTCATCCCGTCAAGTGCCCCCCTCAGTGCCTGCCACCCAGTGCCCCCACCCCCCGTCCTCCTCCCCTTCCACCACCCCTAGTTCGTTTCCCAGAGTTAGGAGTCTCTCATGTTCTGTCTTCCTTTCTGATATTTCCCACCCATTTCTTCTCCCTTCCCTTCTATTCCCTTTCTCATGTGGAAATCAAAACCACAATGAGATACCACCTCACACCAGTGAGAATGGGGAAAATTAAGAAGGCAGGAAACCACAAATGTTGGAGAGGATGCGGAGAAAAGGGAACCCTCTTACACTGTTGGTGGGAATGTGAACTGGTGCAGCCACTCTGGAAAACTGTGAGGAGGTTCCTCAAAGATTTAAAAATAGACCTGCCCTACGACCCAGCAATTGCACTGTTGGGGATTTCCCTGATGGCAAGTGATGCAGAGCATTTTCTCATGTGCGTGCTGGCCATGTCTATGTCTTCCTCTGTGAGATTTCTGTTCATGTCTTTTGCCCATTTCATGATTGGATTGTTTGTTTCTTTGGTGTTGAGTTTAAGAAGTTCTTTATAGATCTTGGAAACTGGCCCTTTATCTGATACGTCATTTGCAAATATCTTCTCCTATTCTGTAGGTTGTCTTTTAGTTTTGTTGACTGTATCCTTTGCTGTGCAGAAGCTTCTTATCTTGATGAAGTCCCAATAGTTCATTTTTGGTTTGGTTTCTTTTGCCTTCATGGATGTATCTTGCAAGAAGTTACTGTGGCCGAGTTAAAAAAGGGTGTTGCCTGTGTTTTCCTCTAGGATTTTGATGGAATCTTGTCTCACATTTAGATCTTTCATCCATTTTGAGTTTATTGTGTATGGTGAAAGAGAGTGGTCTAGTTTCATTCTTCTGCATGTGGATGTCCAATTTTCCCAGCACCATTTATTGAAGAGACTGTCTTTCTTCCAGTGGATAGTCTTTCCTCCTTTATCAAATATTAGTTGACCATAAAGTTGAAGGTCCACTTGTGGATTCTCTATTCTGTTCCATTGATCTATGTGTCTGTTTTTGTGCCAGTACCACACTGTCTTGATGACCACAGCTTTGTAGTACAACCTGAAATCTGGCATTGTGATGCCCCCAGCTATGGTTTTCTTTTTTAAAATTCCCCTGGCTATTCGGGGTCTTTTCTAATTCCACACAAATCTTAAAATAATTTGTTCTAACTCTCTGAAGAAAGTCCATGGTATTCTGATAGGGATTGCATTAAACGTGTAAATTGCCCTGGGTAACATTGACATTTTCACAATATTAAATCTTCCAATCCATAAGCATGGAATATTTTTCCATCTCTTTGTGTCTTCCTCAATTTCTTTCAGAAGTGTTCTATAGTTTTTAGGGTATAGATCCTTCACCTCTTTAGTTAGGTTTATTCCTAGGTATCTTATGCTTTTGGGTGCAATTGTAAATGGGATTGACTCCTTAATTTCTCTTTCTTCAGTCTCATTGTTAGTGTATAGAAATGCCACTGACTTCTGGGCATTGATTTTGTATCCTGCCACACTGCCGAATTGCTGTATGAGTTCTAGCAATCTTGGGGTGGAGTCTTTTGGGTTTTCTATGTAGAGTATCATGTCATCGGTGAAGAGGGAGAGTTTGACTTCTTCTTTGCCAATTTGAATGCCTTTAATGTCTTTTTATTGTCTGATTGCTGAGGCTAGGACTTCCAGTACTATGTTGAATAGCAGTGGTGAGAGTGGACATCCCTGTCTTGTTCCTGATCTTAGGGGAAAGGCTCCCAGTGCTTCCCCATTGAGAATGATATTGCTGTGGGCTTTTCGTAGATGGCTTTTAAGATGTTGAGGAATGTTCCCTCTATCCCTACACTCTGAAGAGTTTTGATCAGGAATGGATGCTGTATTTTGTCAAATGCTTTCTCTGCATCTATTGAGAGGATCATATGGTTCTTGGTTTTTCTCTTGCTGATATGATGAATCACATTGATTTTTTTACGAGTGTTGAACCAGCCTTGCATCCCGGGGATAAATCCTACTTGGTCATGGTGAATAATTTTCTTAATGTATTGTTGGATCCTATTGGCTAGTATCTTGTTGATAATTTTTGCATCCATGTTCATCAGGGATATCGGTCTATAATTCTCCTTTTTGGTGGGGTCTTGTATGGTTTTGGAATTAAGGTGATGCTGACCTCATAGAATGAATTTGGAAGTACTCCATCTCTTTCTATCTTTCCGAACAGCTTTAGTAGAATAGGTATGGT